GAAAGCACCATGTCCCTCAGTACACTGCTCAGTCCCTTTTTGGGTCCCTTTGAGTTTCTGGGAAGCAGATTCCAAAGGGGAATCACAAGTTCACAACAAGGGCTGGGGATGTAGCTCAGCGGCACAGCACCTGCCTGGCAAACTTGAGGTTCTGAGTTCAATCAGGACTTGGGGGTAATTCCTGTGAAATAAAAGGGAGAGGGAGGAGGAGGGGAAAGCCTCAGACCACAGTGCAGGCCATTTGTGAAGGGAGAGGGGACAGGTGGAGGATGGAGAAGGAGAATCTCATTATACAGGAGCTCCTAGAAGGACCAGGCATTGGCTCGGACTATGCAGGGACAGCACAGATGGGCTCAAGCATGATGGACATGGCTGAGACCATGTTGGCTGACTGTGGTCCTCACCCAGGCTCTCTGTCAAAGGGGCCTAGGCAGCACATCTCCAGCCTGCCACACCCTCGGGGTTGAAGCTCAGCTTCCTGAGTAGTGCTCACTTAGCTTTTGCTATGTAACAGTGAACCTAACACAATAATTGTACAAAAATCATTACATATTTTTTTCTTTTGTTTTTTGAGACAAGGTCTCACTGTATGGTTTAGGTTTGTACTCACTGTGTAGCCCAGTCTGGCCTTGAACTCTCAGTGATCTTCCTGCCTCAGCCTTCCAAGTGCTGAGTTTACAGGCATGCACCACCAAGATCAGTCTAAAAATAAACATTTAAATAAAAAATATTTTTCTAGGCCTGGGGATGTAGCTCAGTGGTGCCTTTTCTGCCTGGCAAGTGCAAGGTCCTGAGTTCGATTTCTGGTACTAAAACTATATATCTCTCTTGTTTTTACAGTTGGCTCTGTCAGCTCTTCTAACTACAGCTACACTTGCCTAAGCAGAGATGAATGGTTGTCACTTCACCTAGGATGATGTGGCTCTGCTTCTTGTATTGCACATCCTCCTCCTGGCCGGCCTGGATTCATGCTTCTCTCATGTCAGAGGCACCAAAGACACCAAAGGAAGACAAGAGGCCTAAACTGGGAACTGGCCTGGAGTCACTTTCTTGTATGAAGCAAGGCACATGTTTGAGCCCAGTGTCAAGGGACTGCCCAGGACTGGAGGGCACTGCAAAGCTATGCAGCAACAGACGTGGACTTAGAGACACGTGAAGGATTGGAGTCTTCTGTTGGCACTGTGGTTCCTTCTTGATGTGAGCAGGACGGAAGCCATCTTATGCTTCTGTCTGCTTTAAACTTACTTTCTGAGTCTAAACTAGCTTGCAATAACCATGAAATCGGTATGCCAAAAATCTTATCCGGTGAACCCTTTCAAAAATATAGTTTTACCATAAAGAAAAATATCTTTTTCACCACCATAGGATTAGCACATGTTATCTGTACACATATAAGATTAGAACATGTTGCTTGTTTCAAACTCCCCACTGCATGAAAGCCAAACCCTCCAGCGGCTCTTTAGCTCAGTCTTCTGGCTCAATGCTTGCGGACTCTGCTTGAGCATGGCTCCTCGTGGAACTGCCGCTCCAGCTCTGCAACTGTCTGTGACAGTCACTCTGCTGGTCCAGAGTGCCCCACTTGGTTCCCTAGCTGTACTGGTCTCTGGATTGCCATAAGTTCCAGCGCCATCGGGCCCCCAGTGTCCTCATGGCATGTTGGCCGGGTGGAAGAAAGATTCTGTACCATCGGCACCACCTCCAGCTTCCAGCTGATGCCATCGGTGCGATCCCTTCTGTCTTGCTATGAATGTGATAAATGCTCAATAAACCATTGCATTTGGGACATTGCTCATCTCTTGGGATCTTTGTTTGACAGATGTGCCGACTTCCTTTGGCTCCTCCAAGCCCCAGGGTGGCCTAACTCAGAGGGCCTTTGGCCTCGAGAGTGGCCTCCATGTCTACTCGAGACACTTCTTCACTGCCATTGTTCGATACTGGCTTATATGAATAGAACCTAGACATGAGAACCAGAAAAAAGACAAGAATAAGACAAGAGTCACAAATATCCCAAGAAACATGTGAGAACCGCTCTATATCCAGTTTTCTCACTGGCTTAGCTCCAACCAGGAGAGCAAGTTCCATGAATCAGTTCACCAATGTGAAATGAGCGGCACTTTTCTTCATTACCTCATTTCCTATTTTTCATTTATAATGAGAAGTATTAGCTCTTGCACAGATTTCACCTTGCCAGGCCCATAAACAACTGAGGAGAACTGTAACATCTAGAACCATTTTAACCAACACATTCACCTGAGTCTCTTGGGTCTCTAAAGCTGTTATGGCTTGTGTTTAGATGTCCCCCCAAAGCCTTATGGGAATGAGGTGGGGCTATTGTGGAGGTGGCTGATTCTAGAGTACCTGATTGATTCAGGCTAGGCCCGAGGGTGCTAGGGTTAAGGGCATGAGAATAATGAGAATAATTAATGCCCTTAATGTCTGCTCTACATAGACAGAGTAAGATAAAAAGGGCAGACAGACGCTCTTAAGGTTCTTTTTTTGCTTTTTGCTGCTTCCTCTGTCATGAACTGTTGCCCCTCTGCCACCCTGCCTTGGAGCCAGCCGATTATGAACTGTAACCTCTACCAACTGCAAGCCAAACAAGCCTGTCCTCCTTTAACTTTGGATGTCGAGCATTTTCTCTCAGCAATGAGAGAAAAGTAACTAACACAAAAGCTAATGCTGTGACACTTAGTATTTGGGCCACAATCAAGGACTTAGTGTGGAAATGACTAGAGAGTGTTAGAAAGTCTTGGCCAAACTGTGAAAGCTGGTGGTGAGTTATCCTATTCCACTGAGGTTTTGAGTAAACATGAACAACGATGGGAGGGAATTCCCCTCTTTCAATTGTGGTCACTGTGTGTTTGAGAACAACACAGCCCACGTGTAGTGCAAAGCCCTGGTCTGAGCCCACGTGGTCAGCAACACTTCTATTATATGGAGACCGGTGCCTCTCCCCAGAGTCATAAACCAACACATGGTGATCCCACAGCTAAGTTCTTCCCCAACACAACATCAGAAAGAACCAAGCCCACACTTACAACACCCCAGCACCAACCCTCAGAACTCCCTGACCTCACCCACTGACCGTGATCCTGAGCTCTTGGAGCCAAGCCTAAAACAAAGGACTACACTTTCTTTCAGAGCCCCTTACCTTCTCCAAATATACAAAAAGAAAAAAAGCATTATTAAAATCAGTCAAAAAGAAGAAAAAATAAGAATCCAAGAGAGATCTATCTTCTCAGCTTCTGCAGAGAAAAAGAGAACAGTAAGAAGAAACCTAAGACACCACAAACAAAACAGCTGCTGCTAACATGTGTGAGCTTCATGTCATTTTCCTGTCAAGAGAGCCAACCACCAACCCCAAGCCACAAGTCTCAGTATCACCATTCCTTTCACACACATCTCCCACATCAGAGCACTGAGCACTTGTCTAGAAATACAGTATTAAACACCACATCCCACATACGCACGCCACAGACGTCTTCCCAACTTCCCAAACACACCATCTCTTACCACTTACATCCACAGCGCTCAGACAAAGCCTTCCTACCATGCACACAAAGCATATTTCAATGGGGTCCATGTGCACTCTCCATGCCCCACATACCCCACACACGCTACCCACACATAGCCCAGCCCTTGATTCAAGAACAATTCCTTTCTCCTTGTAGGATCATCCACACCCCCATCTGGCTTGTCCTGACCACACCTGCCAGGACACCTGGTTGGCCATTGCCTCCCTTATTTCTCTCATTTCAGGAACATACATTTGACCAACAGGGTCATCTCCTGCACAAGACCACAGCCATGAACAGGGAAACCCAGATATGAACCCCAAAAGCCCTAGCATAGAAAGCTCTGCAAGCAGTTGTGTTATAATAAGGGTCTGCTATGTGTGGAGAGTGGTGGGCATCTGTAGGATCACAACAGTAGGGCCTCCTTGTCTTGGACCAGAGCCTATAAATAGCTCCTGGATTTGCTTCTACCAGACAACAGTTTATGGTGGACTTGGAACCTGACTAGAAGGGGTGCTGGTCCTTGGCTCCCATAGGCCCTCATCATCAGGGGATGCAAGCAGGGTATGTCCTCATTTCCCCGGCAGCGGATAGGACTCCCACTCCAAGCCACATGAACTATCAGGCACCCTGAGGTTGCCATGAGCCGACAAGTAGCCCTGTTTCCATCTAATGATTATTTTCACCCCTTTCCACCTACCACACCATTTGCCCAGCACAGGGACTGAACTCAGACTGCTGCCACTGGGGCTGAGCTGGGCCAGATCCCAGATTGTTCCCTTAGCCCAAGCTTACTCTTTTCCCCCATCAAACACTAGCAAAAACCTTATACTGCCCAGGAACCAAGGTGAAGAATAAGAAGACACTTACCTCTCACAGGCAGTGTGAAGTTCAGCCTCTGGGAGGCGTTCAAGGATGTGTGCCCCACCACACATTGGTAGATGGTGCCACTGTCTTCCAGACAGGCACTGAGTTTCAAGCAGCTGATGATGCTAAATATACCATCCTCATTATTATTATTATTTTTTTGGTACAGGGGATCAAACTTGGGTCCTTGCGCTTGCACGGCAGGCGGTGAAACCACTGAGCTAAATCCCCAGCCCACTATCCTCATTCTTGATGGAGGGACCAGTACAGATGTCCTTGGAAATCCCTTGGTACTGGGGAACCTTCTGGGTCCACTTCTCCCATGTTATGTTAATGGCTTCTGGGTAGAACCCGCTTGACTAACACACGAGGTGTCTGTCTTTACCTATCACTTTGGTTTTCTCCAGAAACACTGTGCTGTCTGGCTTAGCTGCCAGGGAAGAGAAGCCATAGAGTTGGCCTCAGCACTAGTTATCCTTTTTTCTCCCTTCGTGCTAATTGGCTTCTATCACATTTACACATCAGCATCTCTTTTACCATAGCCAGGCAAGACAGACAATATGGGTGTCCCCTCTTTTCAAACATATAGACTCAGAGGCACAGATAATGCTGCAACCATGCCAAGCAATAAGCTGAAGAGCTGCTGAGTTGCCGTAGCAGAATGGGAATTTCTGGAGGATGGGTAGAAACTAGCAGATCGCCAGTTTGATAAATAAAACTTCCAGAAGGTACCATAGGAGAAAATCCAGGTGGCTTTGAATTTGGTGATGTGCTTTTAAACACAGTGGGAAGGGTGGTATGTAGGTCAGTGATAGTGCAAAGTATGGCACATACGAGGCTCTGGGGTTTTTTTGTTTTGTTTTGTTTTTGGTACCAGGGATCAAGCTCAGGTCCTTGCACTTGCGCAGCAGGCGACGAAACCACTGAGCTAAATCCCTGGCCCTAGGCTCTGGGTTTAATAACCAGCAGTGCCCAAAACACAAACAAAGTTATTAAATACAATGCCAGAACATGATGCATGAAAGACAAAGTTGGTAAGTTGCAACTTATTAAAATTAAGAACTCCTAAAAGAAATGTAGTATTCTAGAGAAAAGGATATTAAGTAAAAGCTAAAAAACCCTCAATAAACTATGGACTTTATTGAACAGTGATCTATCAATATTGGTACATTACTTTAATCAACTACACTGTGAATGACAGGGTAAATGGAGCACAGTGGTGGGAGTAATATGAGAACCCTCCCTGTCTTGTAAATCTATTAACTTTTTTAAAAGTCACTGTTATTTCAGGGTTTCTGTAAGCTGAAGATTAAATGAACTCTAACTACTATACCTCCGCACTACCAATATTAATATTTATAAAACATTCACAGTCCTATGAACAATGATGGAGGGTTCAAAAATGCTGCTCTGCTGTTATGGGCTGTCCTTTACATCTCCCTAAAATCCACATGTCCCCCCAGGGTTCCTACTATTTCTGAATGGGACTATTTGGACATAGTGTGTGTAAAGAGCTCATTAAGTTAAAATGAGATTATATGGCAGGTCCTAATCCACTGAAACTGCTGTGCTCATAGGAAAAGGGAATTAGGACACAGACACAGAGAAAAAACCAAGCCAGATGTGGTGGTGCATGCCTGTAATCCCAGCACTCAGGAGGCTGAGGCTAAGAATTGCCAAGAGTTTGAGGCTCACCTGGGCTATGTAGTGAGACCTTGTCTCAAAAAAGAAAGAAACGGGAGAAAGAAGGAAGGGGAGGGAGGGGGGGAGGGGGGAGAAAAAAGGGAGGGGAAGGAGGGGGGAGGGAGGGAGGGTGAGAGGACAAAACATGTGAAAATGGAGAACGCAGCCAAGGAGAGAGGCCGCGGAAGAAATGAGCCCCACTGACACCCTGATCTCTGACTTCTACGCTGTAGAATTGTAAGAAAATAAACAGCTGTTGTTAAGCCATCCAGTCCATGGTATTACCTTATGGCAGCCATAGCAAACTAATATAGCCACAAAGTTCATCCATATATTATCAGATTCTGTTATAATAGAGGCAAGAGGAGCTCAAAGAAGGGATGACGTAAGTCTTGACTGGAAACCTACCTACCTTACAACAGGCGATCTGCTGGACACTTTCACACTTTTTTCCTCTAGGTGCTATGGCTTATGCATGCTAAGGAAGGACTCTACCACTGAGAATCTAGTATCTCCACCAATTTTTTTCACTTTATTTTGAAAGAGGGTCTAATTAAGTTGTCCAGGCTGCCCTCAAACTTGGAATCCTCCTGGCTCAGCCTCCTGAGTAGCTGGAATTAAAGGCATGTGCCACCACATGTGGATTTATACATCATACTCTGAGTAGGTAGGAGTTATCAGCCCATTGTATACATGGGAAAATTCAGATTCAAAAGTATTAAATGACTGGGGCTCCCATTTGAAAGGAAAAAGCTGGATTAGGATTCGAATCTGTCCAGCCAGAGTCTAGCACTTCTCTCCTCTCCCAGTTCCTGTCATGGGTACTTCCTTAGTGAGGCGGACTGCTCACACGGAGGTGAATTATACAGCTGCCATGACAGTCATTTAATGGACTGTGCTAAGTATTTCACCTGCACTTTTGATACAGTCCTCCCTAGGGTCCTCTTGGGTAGACATTGTTACCTTCGTTTAGAGAAAAAGGCATTGCACTTTGGAGTGACTAATAACTGGCTCAAGGTTTTATCCAAGACGGGAGCCCATGTCTGGGTTAGACCCACACACTAACCCTCTGCCCCACATGGCCCAACTGCATCCCCACCCCAGGACCAGCACCATGGCAACTGCACGGCACTGCCCTCAGGCACTCACCGAGAACTTTCAGCAAGACCCTTCCTTCTGCCTTCTGAGGGGTGACCGTCAGCTCACACCGGTATTCTCCTGCATCCCCCAGCCCAACCCCAGGCAGCTGGAGTGAGGCGTCACCCCTCTTCAGCCTCTGTGGAGACACCAGGGCCCCAGGTCGGAATGCCTTTTGCCAGTCTCCATAAAGCTCAAACACCTTGACCTCTGCTTCAGACACAGGATCCTTCCGATACCAGGTAACGCCCATAATCCTGGTGTCCAGCCTGGGGCAGCCGGGGACTTTGCAGGAGATTGTGACATTGCCATTCAGTGGTGCTATCTGAGGCCTTCCTGGCATCACCACTTCCAGAGAACCTGTGAAAATAACACAACTCCATTATGAGGATCCTTGGTACTCTCTCACATGATCACCTAATAAATTCCTTTTGCCTTAGGTGTGAGAAGACTCAGTACACAGGCTCTCAGTTCATGGACCCCATTCATCCACATAAGATCCCTCTTTGTTCTTTTTTGAGATTAGTTTGGCTGTTGGGGTCCCTTGCAATTCCATGTGAATCTCAGAATCAGCTTATCAATTTCTACCAAGTGTCCAGCTGAGACTCTGATAGGAACTGCACTGAATCTGTTGATTAATTTGGGAGTTCCGCCATCTTTATGAGGTTAACAATTTCATCCATGAACATGTTTGTGGCACGAGCTATGGACTCAATGTTTTTGTCCTCCCAAAACTCATCTTTTGAGGCCTAATTCCCAGTGGGATGGTGTTTGGAGGCAGGGCCTCTGGGAAGTGATTAGGTCCTAAGGGCAGAGCCCGATGAATGGGATTAGTGCCCTTGGAACAAGAGCTGCAGAAAGATCTCCCCCTCTGGTGTGAGACGCAGCAAGAGGTGTCCTGCAAACCAGGAAGGGGGCCCTCACCAGAGACTCAATCAGCAGGCACCTTCACCTCAGACTTCCCAGCCTCCAGAGCGGTGAGAAACAAATCTCTGTTTAAGGCACCCAATCTGTGGCATTGGCTATGGCAGCCTCACAGAAGGAGATAGAACATTTTCTCTTCATTTACTTAGATCTTCTTACATTTCTTTTGACAATGTTTTATATGTTTCAGAGTACCGTCATGGGTCACTAACTGACATGGGCATAAGAATTGTCATTATCCAGTTTCATCATTGTGTGAACATCAATGAGTGAACTTCACACAAACCTAAATGGATGGGTCAACCACTCACCGTGGCTTCTTGATGAGACCAAGAGACATGGTGACACAAGCTCACAAAGCTACTGCCTGCATCACACTTTATGGGACAGCTTTTTTTTTTTTTGGTACTGGGGATCAAACTCAGGACCTTGCGCTTGTGAGGCAGGCGGCAGCACCACTGAGCTAAATCCCCGGCCCCTTGGGACAGCTTTTTATACTGTACAAAAAAGTACACTCCTAAATGTTTACAAAGCATAGTATAGAAAATACATAAATCAGTGCCATTTATTCTCATTGATTAATACATGCTATACCCAATTATGTGTGCTGTACTTTCATACAACTAGCAGCATGGTAGTTTTGTTTATATCCACATGCATACTGTGCTGCATTACAAGTTTACAATGGCTTTGTTACCAGGTGGAGGGAATCTTTTTTGTGCTCAGGCTGGCTGTGAACTCACTATATAGTCCTCTAGCTTGCAGCGATCCTCCTGCCTCAGCCTCCTGAGTGGTGGGATGACAGGGACTACCACCACACCCAGCAATCTCTATTATAATCTTATGGGACCACAGTCACATATGCAATTCGTCGTTGACCAAAACATCATTATGAGTTGCACAACTATACGTGCTCTGTGTTTCTTTTGTTAAATTTGTTCATAAATATTTTATTCTTTTTGATGCTGCTCTAAAGGGAGTTTTTCTCCATTTTATCTTCAGATGGTTTACTGTAAATGTATAGAAATAGCAACCATTCCTTTTATTTTTATTTCCTTCTCCCATCAGGCAACCATTCTAAGTCCTTTAATGTCTACAGCTTTTGTCCTCTGTAACACTGTGTCTTGTTTTGTTTCCCAAGCCTTTGGGAATGGTATAAATGTATGCACACAGTACGTATGTTGCTTTGGATATATGGTATACAGGCTGCATTATTTCCCTTCTTGCCACTATGCTTTCAAGATCCTTCCACATGTCTATGTGTACAGCTGGTCCATCACTGGAAGCTGCTGCCCAGCTCACCAAGGTGAGCATCCACACCTGGCTCCCAGGCACCCCACACGCCAGCACACACGTGGCTTGCTGGAGTCTCACCCCCCACACACCCCAACTCCATCACAAGCCTGTTTCGGCCAGTCTAATAAGTGTTAAGGAATTTCTCATTGTTGATTTAACTTCTTTTTTAAAAATTTCATCCCACGTCTCCCTCCCCTCAAGTCCCCTCCCTTCCCTATGTACAAAAGCTTTGTTCCCATTTTTCCCTTCTTTTTTCACCTTTTTCCTTGTCCTTTTCTTCCTTTCTCCCTCCTTCCTCCCTTGTTCCCCTTCCCATTTGAACATTTTCTCCCCATTTCCCAATATCAATTTCTGTCCTAGTTAGTAGTGAGTTTAAACATCTCTTTGCAGTACTTTAGCCTTTGAGCTTCCTGTTTGATTGTTTGTTTTAGTACTGGGAATCGAACTCAGGACCTTGCACTTGTGAGGCAGGAGGCAGGCTGTAGCACCACTAAGCTAAATCCCCCGCCCTTGAGCTTCCTGTTTGAAAATGTGGCATCCCAGGCTGTTTCAGGCCACTCAGGTCCCTGTGCTCAGGTCTGCTCCCTGTTAACCAAACCTAGGAGGCTGTTTGTTTTGGTGGAAAAAAGGGTCTGTATAAAGCTTGCTCAGAGGACACAGAGTGGGCCCTTCTGCCTCAAATCACCATCTCACTGTGTCCTAATGTAAGGGGATTTTATAGGAGGAGATAGAAGGGAGAAGGGTACAGTAAGAAAAGAGGTGATTTCTCTTGCTTGTCTCTTCTGGCCACCACCTGCTAGGCCAGTATCTGCATATTCTCCACTTTATCTAGGCTGGGGTGGGTGTGGGGAGTGGGTGGGGCATGGAGATGAGGGCAGGAGCAGAGGTTGGGTCAGGCTGGGGAGGTAGGAATGGGGCGGAATGGGAGTGCAGAACAGTGGGGTGGTGGTGGGGGTGCTGGGTGGGAGTGAGGAGCTGGGGGGACAGGAGATGGAATGGGTGGGGTTGAATATGGGAAGGTGGGGACCGGGTGAGGCCATGGGTGGTCAGGTGGGGGCCTGGAGTGGAGCATCAGGGGGGCGATGTGAATGTAGGGGACTGGTGGGGGAATAGCGTGTGGGTTCCTCCAGTAGTGTGTGGACTGGAATAGTGGGGGTCGCGGGGCGGGGTGGGGGATTGCTGAAGGGTGGGGGATTGGCCCAGGAGCTGCCAAGAGACCCGCGTGGCCACAGGGGGAGCTTCTGTTGCCAGCCGGGTTCCCCAAAGCCACATCTGCGCTTTCTAAATCTTCGGACCCCTCAATGATGCCACGATCTCGTCCGGGTCCTCGGCTGCACCTTGAATCTGTGTGTGGGCAGCGTGCGTGGGTGTTTTAGGAGGAGGCCCCTTTAAGTATCTAAATTGCCCAGGAAGGGCTGGAACTTGGCAATTTCATTGCCAGGGCCTCACCTACGCTAGGCAAAGTGGCCTGTCCCTGAGCCACAACCCTTACCCGCAATCTGAGCAATCAGTGAATCTGCATTTCACCAGGCGGCCCAGAGCACTGCCGCTTCATAGCAGGGCTACAGGTGGACAAGCCACTGGCGGACGCCAAGGAAGCCACCGTGTCCCTGTCCCCTCCCCACCACCTGCGTTCCTACCTGCGGTCCTCAGCACCACGCCCCAGAGCAGCAGCCAGAGCAGCAGCCACACCACCGCCCCCGGGGGGCTGCGGACTCCTCGGTCCGTGCTCCCATCGGTTCCCCCACCCCACCCCACCCCCGGTCCGCCCAGCCCAAAGCTGCTGAGACCCGCGCGCGGCCACGGGGGGGGGGGAAACTCGCGCGCTCTGGCAGAAGGGTTTCCCAAGGGCTCATCTGCGCTTTCTAAATCTTAGGATCCCTCAACAATACCCTGACAGAGGCAGCTTTCAACTTGTCCCCTCTTCAGACCGGGGCAAACGGGTCTGCAGGCGGCAGAAGCCGGAGGGAAACTGCGACCAGCCCCAGGGTGGGATGGGCTGGAAGCATCCAATGGACGGAGTCCACGTTTCTAGCACGCTGGGCTCTGGGTGGACAGCTGCGGCCTCCTAACATCCCGGAAGAGACACACTGGACTTACAATCAGGTCATCAGCTTGGAGAGTTAGGGGGCGCTACTGTACCGAGGATGGTCCTGGTAAATGAGTCCCAGAGCTGCCTCACTCACTGGGTGATGTTTCTGGCAATTGGCCTGGTAAACTTACATTACTTAACAAAATACAATTTAAATTATTCCCCACCCGCGACTGGGGATTAAACCTAGGATCTTCCGATTGAGCTACATCCCCAGGAAACCCAGTAGAATGAATTCATTGGGTGTGACAAATTAAACACAAAGGGGGTCCTAGGGCAGAGAAGGTGAGCTGGTCCCAGAACCCAGAAGGAAGCTCCCCCACCGCCATCACAGGCTCCTAGGGGAGAGAAGGTGAGCCACGCAGGCACCAGAAGCACGCCCCCCCAACCCCCATGGAAATGAGAAGACATGTAAACAAGCCTCAAAAACACACTTCTGGATCACCTACAGCAACCCCAAAGGGAAATGAGATAGATCACTCTGATACTCAACCACCTGGACTCCATGAACTGGCAACAAAAGAG